TAATCACTTCCCCCTTTTGTTAAACACCCCCCCAAAAAAATAAAAATGCATTGGGGCGAATCCTCACAAAATCATCCCTGCCCTGTGAAACCTATTCTGAGGGTTTCGAGGCTCCAAATACCCGTAGAGCACAGTAAGAGCAAGAGCAAAAGCAAGAAAGAAGTTAGAGCAAGAGCAGCAGCAAGAGCAAAGCAAAAGCAAGAGCGGGAGGAAGAGCAAGAGCAGGAGCAAAAGCGGGAGCAACAGCAAGAGCAGGAGGCACACGAGACGCAGCAGAAGCAGGAGCAAAAGCGAACGTGTGCGCAAGAGCCCGAGCAGGAGCAAGAGCACAACCCCTGAAAAGTGGCAGTAGAGATAAACATACCCCCCGATAATGACAACACTTTCCGAGTTGTTATTGGGGGGGGGGNNGGGGGGTTAATATTAGGGGGAAGCGATTAACAGGTATTGCACGGCGAGTGGTTTCGTCTAGACCCTAGGTGTCGTTATAGGCACAGCTATTGGTACGTACCTTACCCTGAGTTTTGTTTGTATTTGCAAGGCTTGGTAGCGAACTTGTGCAGATTTGGTAATTTGTTTTTTCAGATAAGGGGTGGTGGGTTGAAGGTTGACGAGGTTGAGGACGACTGCGACGATGTCAACAACAACAGCAGCAACAGCAAGAACAACAACTGCAGCAACAACAACAACAACAACAGATGACACCACGAGCCCTCATCAGCAAATTAAAATAGTTGTGCTCATGACAGACACATTTTTTCTCAAAGGAATCAACGGTGTAAGTGCTTTCTCCGTCGCCCATCGTCATCATTATCATCGTCGTCACCGTCACGATCACCATCATCGTCACCATCGCAATCACCACCATCATCATCATCATCACCATCATCAGCAACAACAACGTCATTATCAAAACCATCATCACCATCATCATCACCATCATCATCATCATCATCACCAACACCATCATCACCATCATCACCACCACCATCATCATCATCAACAACAACAGCATCATCACCGTCATCGCCATCGTAATCATCATTGTAATCATCGTCGTCATCATCATCATCATCAGCAGCAGCAGCAACAGCAGCATCATCATCAGCAGCATCATCACCGTCATCATCATCAATATCAGCATCATCAGCATCATCATCATCATCATCATCATCAACAACAACAACATTCTCATCATCATCATCCTCCTCCTCCTCCTCATCATCATCATCATCATCGACATCTTCATCACTATCATTACCATCATCAGTTTTATCAACCAGCATCAAGGAAGTCAAAGTCGTGATCTGGAACCTGAACCCAAGGTACGTCGGCCACGTTTGCTTCCTTGCCGGTACGATGGCAGAGCGTCGCCGCGCGAAGGATCCCGAGGGATGAGACCTCTCAAGTGTGGGGTTAAGGCTAAGGGCTAAGAGTCTGCCGTTGTGGCGAAGGGCTGTTTTTGATATCTACTGTTCTGAGTGCAAGGCTTTGGGATATTTTTGTGTGCATAGCTGTAAGATGTCCACTCCCAGAACTCAGGTCGTCTTGGTAATGCGGACCTTGTGTTGTTGCTATAAATTGCCTAAACCTTAAACCCTGGACCTCAACCCCGAGGCCAGTCCAATGGGAAAGCCCCCGGAGAGGCCCCCTAGTAGCTGCTGCCATCCCGAAGCCGCACTGAACAGCCACTCAGTTGCCAACGGTTAGGAGAATAGCGACTTTAATACCGATGCGACACATATCTTGTCTGCATGCAGAAATCAACTCTAGTAGCATCATCGTCACCATGGTCATTTGGAAACCTCAGTCAGCATGCCGAGCTGCAACATTAAAATGCACCTGCAACATCAAAAGCCAGTGATGCAGGGTTCCTGAAGAAGATCGAACATTCAGACACGTCGTGACGATCATGAAAATTGTTGGCCCTGTCACCCGGAGCTGGGGGCCCCATCTCGTAAGCAGTATTTGTCCGTCATTGTTGTCCATCAAAACTGCTGATTTTATCGTGCCATACTAAACTTCCTGCCGCGAACCATTCTGCTAAGCCCTAAACCCCAAACGTCCCTATACCCGAAGTTTCCCTACACCCCAAGCCGTAACTTCCCTCAGCCTTCTAAACTCTATCTAAACCCTTTGAAGCCGCAGCTCTTTGGACCCTCAGTCTTCCTGCCAGGAGTTCCTTGACTGGCTCCTCCAACAGCGACGGGGTCAGGCCTGGCGCAGGGTTTCTCTGTCGTTCGGGGCCAAGGGGCATTGGCTGTGTCGTTTCGAGGTGGTTGGTGAAGGACTTCGCGGTTCGGATGGAATAATCAGGGTTCAGGAAAGAATCCCTGTCACTCTTGCAGGTCAAAGGTCAGTCTCAATTAGTTTGTTTGTTGTAGCCCGTATCCAGAAATCATGATATACCAACCCCCCCATCAGTTTCAGAATGTATTCCCACCAGTAATGGCTCAGCATTTCCCATATATGAATAGAATATCCCCCGAGCTATGAACTGCCGTGCGCAGCAATCAACCCTGAACGCAAGAGGGGCTTGGGGCTTCTGCAAACGTCAGGTCTTGGCAAGTCAGGGCATCGAGCATGAAGTTGCGAAACCATGCGAGTGCTGAGGTCTGGTCGTATTAACTACATCCTAAGCCAGAAGCTCCGCATACACTACCATTCTGAAAATACCATCCTTGTCATTGTTTTAGGAACCTAATCCAAGAAGTGGGTATAATGTCTATATATATATATATATATGTATGGGGAGCCTCTTGGTAATTAGCCTAATTTTCGGTTGCATGCAGTTTGCGGCTGGGGCATCCCTCACAGGCAACACAACCCCTGAAGCCGAAGGCTTGATGCTTTTAAGCCTTGCAAGTGAGCACTTGAACCGGAAGTGTCGATTTCTAGCTTCGCGTCGAGGCCTGATTGGCTGGGTGTGCGTGCTGTTCAGAGTATGGAGTTCAGGCTTTGTGGTCTAGGGCTTAGGGCTTAGGGTCTACGGGTAACGAGCGAGCACATATACTCGTGGCACTTGACTCTCCTGCAGATAGGAGTTCTGTGTAGAAGCTTGCGGTGGCCCCTCTTCGTGTTTATTGTTGATTCCCTCCAGGGGCTGCAAAGCTTCGCTGGTTTCGGTTGGATGATCCTGGGTTGGGGTCCATGCTGATGTCGCGACTATCAGCCTAATAATTTAATCATCATCCCTGATAAGACAAGCCTTCGCACGTCATGTACAACATGTGGCTCCGGACGCAGGTGAATTGAAACTGAAATGTGTACCCCACACTGACAGAACAAAAGGTCGTTTAGTGCTGAGGGCCCAGGGTTTAATTGGTGCGAAGCCTTCAGGTAACTGTGAACAACATTTCCGAGCGTGATGACGTCACGGAGGCCGGCGTCTGAGGGTTCTGGATGGCTCAACATCTGCACTGGAGTTGAATTGTGAGGCGTGTCGGATCCTTGCGAAAATGGGGTGTCGGATAATGAGTATGGCTACGGTCCTTTGGCTTTAGAAGCTTTGTAAGACACTATGTCTCTCGACATGAGTGCTCCGTGCCAGCCATTTCTACGCAAGGGATGGCAACAAATAGGCTGCACACAAGGACGCGTGCAAGTTCCGCTGCACGGTAGTCCATGAAGCAGGGAGATTAGATCCTAAACACAGTCATGAGTTGTGCGCAAGTCATGTTCTTGCTTTCAACACTTCTGGACGAAGCTAGCAGAGTCTCGGCAATGAGTTGCTTGCATGTGTGTCGTTCTTGATTTGCTGCTCAGAGCCATGCTTTCTGTGCCACATCCTGTGACTGATATCCGAGCTTGCTATGGTTTCCCCAGTCGGCACCTGGAACGTGCAACTAATTGGTGCAACTAATAGCTCACTTTGCACAGGAAACGCAGCATCACCTCAAACGCACTGCTTGCGGGGATGCATGGCCGACCACTCCGCAGTGAGCCATGCACTTTGCTTGGTCGTGTCGGCAACAAGCTGCTCAAAGACACGTACAAGGAAGAGGCAGACGATGAGGAGGCTCAAGTGCAGGCAGAGCTGTGCAAACAGCGGCACATCTTGTGCATTGGAAACGCCACCTGCGCGCATTGCGGTTTTAAGGTGTTGTGTGCCTGCGGTATGGTGTTGAAGAACATCAGCCTGTATTGTAGAATGCCGATGTTGTTGTCACGGTATTTGATAGGCCGTTGTGCATTGCAGTGTTCAGCTATAGCATACACTGGACGATTTCCTATTGCCCTGCCCATCTAAGGACAACTACAGGACTCGAACCGTCTTAAGCTCAGCTGCTTCGGGGGCAAAGAACGTTCACGACCTCTTCAACAAGTTGGCATTCACCTGCAGCCTGTGCCAAGATACCACCACTTCTACCCTTCGACGCAAGACTCGAGATTTCGTGGACGGGCTTACGGACGAAACCAAATTTGCGGTGCTGTATTTTGCTGGACATGGTGATGAAAAGGATGAGGAGCAAAGGCTTCTTGCAATCGATGCTGTTGACGATGCCAGGCAGGCAGCGGATGGCCCATCCGACATGACAGTCAATGAGATTCTGAAGTTGTTTGTGGAGTCCGGTGCTGCCAGAAATGCCACTTTCCTTTTGATACTGGATTGCTGCCGGGATCGACCTAAGCTTCCCGAAGTCAGCCGGCGCAAAGGAGTGAAACTGCTTTCAAAATGTGTGAATGCGAAGCGACAGCTGGCAGTCCTGTTCTCTTGCCCATCTGGTGGTTTGGTGCTGGACAAGATGGGATCAATCAAGAAGAGCCCAATGGAGTTTATGCTGACAAAAGTTCTCTCCTCAGGGCTGCAGCCATTGTCTCTTCAAACGCTTCCTTCAGTCATCGCAGAACTGTTCGACAGGATAGTCGAAAGGATTCCTGAAGTCAAGTTTCGGCTGCAACCGATTGCAGAGCTTTGGGTACAGAACACCCATGCAGATGCAGAAGAGGAAGCAGAGCTGTTCATGAGCCCCAAAGGTGTGATGGAGTGGCGCCGCTTGCGTTCAGCATGGAGAGAAATATGCATTGAAGAGGAAACTTATGGCTCAACAACAAGTACATGCAAGAAGTTGAAGACACAGAAACGTGCTGACGAGATAAAGTCCACTGCAGAGCAAGCATCGCACAGGCGATCGATCGATACAAACCGTCCGAGCGTCGCAGCCATTGATGAGATGTTGCTGTCAGGCCGCCGTGATGCCTTACTGGAGCTGCTGGAGTGCCGCAGGTGCTTACTCCAGGAGCACGAGGCCTTAAAGCTGAAAGCGACGCAGGCCACAGCTATCAGAGTCGTTTCCGAAGCAGTCTACCTTGCACTAGATAGACTCTGGGAGCGGACTCGCCGGCAAGCAAGCGAGCAGCGCGAGCACCTGGAACAGCGCAGACATGTGGCAAGCTTAAAGGATACCTTGGCTAAGGATGTCGGGAAGTGGGACGAAATGAGCGAGTGGTTGCTGGGAATGGCTCTGCATGTATTGAATCATCCATCAGACTCAGAGTCGCATGAGCATGATCGGCGGCATGATCGGCGGCAGCTGGCAGAAAGCATCCGAAATTTTCTGGCGACAGTCAACGAGGCCGTGAGGAACTCGTGTACTGGACAGGAGGCTACACAAGCTATCACTGTCCGGGAGGACCTTCCTCCCCTTGCAGCAGCTGCGGTAGCGTTTCTGCTGGCCCCTTTCTTGATTGTGGGGGCCCTTGCAGCGGGAGCCGCAGGCGCATTCACGGGCACTGTTTTGGAAAGACGTGGGCGCCCGGATGACGACCCTTGATTCAGTCGGGCCATAAGTTCGTAGCGAAAGTGCAGTCAATGGCCTCATTCCGCGAACGAGAAGATGGGAGCCATCATGCTCCGAACCACTTTTGGAGGGAGAGTCTAAGCATAGATTATCCTTTAGCAGAGTTTCCCGCGCTGTACCCTCGTTCTCATGCCCATAGTGTAAACGCGCAGCGCTTACCCCATTTCGGCAATATACGGGCTCACGTGCCTAGAATAGAATGGTTGTCGTTGCAGCCGAAGGCGAAGGGTTTTGGTTGAGGAGTTCAGATTCAGGGTTTGAAGTTTTGGGAGCAGGCTTTGGGCTTCCTCGAAACTCTACACGATCACGCAACTCCTCTGGCACTTTGAGCTCAATGTCGACATGGCTCTCTGCATTGAGTTGCCATCTGCTTGGTGTTGAGGGTGCATTGCAAAACACACCGTCAGATAATATTTGCACCCCAAACCCTATATTTGAGCCTGAAGGCCTTCAACCCTGGACACATCCTCAACCCGAAATACCCCTAAGCGCAAAGCGACGCTTAAAATATTCGAAGTGCTCCCCCAATCGCCCCACCAGGTGTTTATCCCGGAGAACTGCAAAGGTCAGGAGCTTTGCTTAGAGGACATGGCATTCCTGGAGTTTAAGGGGCTCGTGTTTTCCTCCAAATCTTCGTTCGAAAAGGTATGTTCAAACAGGTTTGGCCTGAGAGGTTCTAAGAGCTGCCTGTCATTCTTCCGTTGTAGTACAGTACTCTGCGAAACTGTTAGAACCGCTCTGATGGCGTCTTGCTATAAGGATAACGTTATCTCATGCTCTTTTCTGGGGCTTCTGGAACATCTGGTCAGGCTTTCCGAGTCCAGATGTTACACCAGGCATACCGCTCTCCCTTCGAGTCTTGCAGCTTGAGGTGCTGGAGTTCGTGCATTGCAGGGTCTATCGTTGAAAGACTGGGCTCCGTTTCCCCCAGGGTCACCGCACCCAAATACTATATACTTTGGCCTTCAAGTAGTCCTTATATAGCCACCTTAGGGTCGAAGTATAGACTATTCGGGTACATAGACCTTAGGGCCTTAGGGTTTATGAAAGTCGAGGAACTCCTTCCGACACTTGCAGCCAGACTCAGCCCTAACTAACATGTGTACAGTCCCCAATACATTGCCCGGGTTCGAAAATGTCTCCAGAGGGGCTCATATACTGGTCGTTCAGCCAGATGCCGTGCTCATGTTTCGGGTTTGCTGCTGTGACTGCAAGTGTCGTCTTCGAGGCGCTGGAAGCACCACTCTTTAAATTTGATTGTCAGTAGCCCTGTCTCGTCTCGGTTGTGGGCATACTGCTGCCAGCCGTGGTTTTTTCCCCCTGCGTTGTGAGATCTTCTCAAACTTCTGGGATGCACCGCCAACCCGAAGAGAAAACTATCCAGATCGAAGTCCTTCGCTCACAGCGCTCACTCGCCGTCTTCGTCGTCGTCGTCGTTGTCGTCGTGGCCATCCTTTGCTTCTTCATCTGACCGGTCGCCTCAGGCTTCCATGTGTATGCCAGGTGCTTTGCGCCCGCCCATGCCAGTGACTGATTGAGCTCCCTCGCCTGCACACCCAGCACACTCCTCATAAGGCCCAAGTAGGAGAAGTTTTCGTGTGATTATGCCTCTCCGTGCTTTTGTTGTCTCTCATGCCTGATCTATCCTGTACTGCAACTATGGATGCGCGGTTTCTACGACATCTGGACCTCCGCATAGCTTGGTCGTCGCACCGAGAAATCATTCGCACTAGTCAGATCTTTCTCTGTGGAGCATGGTTTGCCACGGGGGACTTCGGCCGAGGAGATCCGCCAGCAGGCTCTGGACACTCTGCTTGAGACCTCTGGACCGCCGCGGCAGACGCCCAGGTGGCCACTGAGTGCGCAGCACAAGGAGGCATGGAGGCGACGGTGGAATCCGTGATGGACACAGCCTGAAAACCTTAGAACACTAAAGGGCCCACCAGAGTCCCTGGCAATTTTGCCGTGCTGGTTGCTCTCCCAGCGCTTCATTATTGTATTTCGCGGGGTGGGGCTCCTCAAAAAACACTTGGAGCCAGTACTTTTGCAACCTTGCAGCTGCTAGACCGAATGCCAACTCCTCCCGGGTGCAACCCCAATGGGGGGGCTTGTCACAATCTTCGGCGAAGAGTGTCCGCTTCTCTTTCCCTATAGCACATTCTTAATCGGAATGCAAGAGTGTAAGACACTTCAATCAGACCCAGCTTTGAACCCGAAACCTAATCCCCGAACCTGCAATGTGGGACGCTTCCATCCTCCATGCAGAACATGTATCCGAGGCTGGGTGACCGGCAACCGGGGTAGCGAGCTGCGCCGCATGGAGTTGGAGACGGGAACGTATATGCTCTTCGGTGCGGTTTACAGCTCGAGCGCGGCAGTAGGATCTTATACGGGCTTTGCTGCAAACTAGTGCAGGAATTGAGGTTTGGTTGGTGGGCTTCAGATATTGAGAGTTTCGGAACGCTGGCGTTTGAGGGCCTCCAGGGTCGTAGTAGGGTTTGCGATGTCCTACAGTAGTGTGTAAAGCTTGGTATAGTCTCGCGGCCCCCTCTCTCTTTGACTACCTTCATCCAGGGCTCAGCAAGGACGTGGTAAGCTGCCTAAGGCAGCACACGACGCAAGGCATACTCGCAAAATATCCTTAGGCCTGCATGCCTCGCAGCCTTAAGTTTCCATTGAGGCGAAGCCGTGTGGAGCCTACAGGGTCACCCGTAGGTCCTACACCCTTATGTGTAGGCTGATGATGGGCAGGGGACCTAGTGAGCAGTGTCACGCAGGTCCCTTGCATTGCTTTCCTCGTCATAGCCGTCATGTACATGTTTAATGATTCTGCATCACCCAAAGAACACCTTGAGAATTGCAATCTGATTCCGAAATTCTAAGCCAAGCCTGTTCTCATGTTTTCGCGGTCAGACTGGAGCCCAAAATTAAGCAATCTAAGCCCTAAATCCCCATCGACCGGAGACTGTAAAAAATATCCTCAACTCCAACACCTAACGCCCCACACCCTAAACACTGTAATTACTGACTTATCACTCCTTTCCTCCCTAAGCCTTAGGCGGCCCTAAAGCCCTATAGACACCACAAAAGTCAGCATAGGTTCATGGCCTTGGACAAGCGTGGAGAGGCCTTGGTTCCTGAGCGGGAGTGTAATTCAGCACCATAAACTTTGGGAGGGTTTAGGCTTTTGTTTTTGTTTGCTGGGGTTGTGGGTTTCGGGTTTCGGCTGTTGCGTTCAGTGCTTCGGGCTTAGCTTGTAAGGGGACACAAAGTATTTTTGGGTACCTCTGGTGTGAGATATATGCTTAGGTGATGATTTGGCCTGGTTGCGGTTGCAAACGGCCCTAAGCCCTGAACCGTGGACTTCAAGCTGTGTGCCAGGAGCCAGGTTTCGCCGTTTACTTTCGAACGCGTTTACTTCGTAGTACATCCTATTACATCCTTAATCCTATGTGATTTCCAATGGAGCGAGGACTTGAATGGGGAACGTGTTATAATTATATGTTAGCTGTACTGTACAACTACAATTTTATTTGGACAGCCACGTACAAGATGCCCCTCCCAAGCAGCGTTTGATGCAACGGCGGCGAAACTCCAACATGCGAAAGGCAGCCTACGTGAGAAATGGCTTAAACTTTCATGGCATGCGAAGGGGCGGCGACAGGGTTGTCGCCTGTCGCGGTCAAGTCCGTTCACCACATGACTCAGGATGATCCACGCATCCGAAATCCCAAGACCATTTAATGACAGGAAGTGATGCGGCTCCATGCGACTCCCAAACACAACAACCCCCCCTGCAAAACTGACACTTCCGTCCACCACATATACGGGCATGTCAGAATTGCGCAAGAGCTATACATGAGGTCTCCTAATCTCATAAGTTTCTTCATATCCCGAAATACTGAACTAGACTTAGGGGATCCAACTCATGGAGGCAACGGCAGATGTCAGTTGTCAGTTTGAGTTCACGGTAACATAGAGGTGAATAAATAGCAACAGCAAGGTGAAGCTGCATCGTAATTAAACGTAAATATCAGAAATCATGCAAAACAAAGGAAAATATAGCGAAGCAAAAGGTAACGAACAGTAAAAGCAAAGTGGAACAAAAAAGGGTGAAGACCAGGCACAGGCCACATGACTCGGATGTTCCTGCTCTCCTGCTTGGGCCCCCTGCATCGGAACGGCCCTTCTAAAACTAGACCCTCAAGCCTCAACCCTCGACACTGATATAGGGGCCTTAATACTTAGAATGGGGTTTTGGGGTTCCTTATTAAGGTTATAGTACAGTATAATATACCCCAAAACCCAGTCTAATTATTAAGGCCCCTACCTTAAGCCAATCCTTCCAATCCCACCTGCCCATGGCAGGAGCGCTTGCTGATCTTCTCGGTGGACTCAGGCTTCTTGCCGGGAAGCGGTGCACTGGTGGTTAAGGTCCAAGGTAGAGCTACCCTGAACCTTAAACCCTGAACCCTGAACTCTAGAGCTCCGTTGTCGGAGACGTTTCTGTGAAGCCGCGGTTGAGGGTTTAGGCGCCGAGCTACGGATGACGTCTTCTAAAGTACCCTCAATGGAGCCCCTTAATTAAAGAATTAGGGTTCATTCGTAGATGGGCTAGTATTACGATACGCTCAAAATCCTAAGCCCCGTTTTTTTATCTCCCCGCATCACAACCCTAATATTGGGGGGCCTCAGTGATTTGTGATGCTAGTTCTTAGAGGTTTTCCGAACATCAATATTGCACACAGGGCCCCCTGGCCCTATTCTAAGCTATTCATATCATATGAGTTAAACGTGACGACCTGCACCAGCTCATACCCGTTCTGCTTACTCAAAGTCTTCCGGGAAAGCCACCTTACCAAGCCTGTACACCGAAAAATAATTCACATCTGCCCGTCCCTACATCAGGCTTCCATGGTGTTTGGGGTGAGGTCTCAAACCGGCTGAGTGTTCTCTGAAAAACAAAGAGCTCA